GAAAATTGAAAGATGATTTTAAAAAGCTGCGAAAACTGTCATAAACATCAGGATAAATAATATCAGTTTTAAGATACTTTGTCGAAAAATACATTTGAATTTTTTATGTATTATATATAACCGCAAGGAAAATGCTTCGATATTTAGTGATTAAGAAAAAGTATTTGAACTCAAAGGCTCGCATTTACTTATTTAAACGAAACTCTGTCTTCAACGTTGATCACATCAGTTAACGATAGCACAAAAGACAAAATTAGGAACGGTTATCATTAGAGTGCGACAATGTGTTAAGACCGAATTTAAGAAAGACCAGAACTGCTGTCAGTTATCACTTATCCAAACATTGCAAACAAGATCAACAAAAATATTTTTAATAATTTAGAAATAATTACAACTTTTATGCTCTTATATCGTGGTCAGGCGACGGTTGGCTAAAAAAGCCTTCAGCCAGAAGGTGAATTCCCCCTCTCCCTCTTATTCCTTATAAGTCATAGTAGATTCAAATATCATCGATAGTAGAATAAATCTTCAGCTTGCATGTCACTTCATCCACTTTTAATGTTCGTACGGACGTACATAAGAAAAGAGACAGTCATCGCATTACTATTCACCAAAAGTGTTTTACGTAAATTTAAATTCCGATTTCTAAAGTATATATTATTGCAGAGGAAATATCTTGTGACCTTGTAACTAAGCAACCTTTTGTTCTAGCTTTGGCTGATAAACAATAATAGCATTTTTTCTACCTCTTCATCATTTTAAACATACGTGTACTCATCGAAGCTGATTATAAAAAAAAGAAAAAAACGCAGAACAAATTGTCTTGACTTTATCCATTGCTTTATATTACATACTTATTTTTCAAATATGAAACGTAAAAACATAATTACAAACGAACGGAAATCTCAACCATTTTATGTATCCTTTAGCGTATTCGCTTATTTCGCTACGTTGTGCTTTCGTAATTGAGTACATCTCGAAATACAAAAATGTCATCAGTACTTGTCCCCATAGATCGTTAATTTGTGCAATTCTTCCAAGTTCATAGTTTCGACAGGCGATGTATGTGAATGTCGAACTATTTAGTCTATAGGCAACGAACAGAAATCAATAACGCGAAAAGGAAACTTAACAATGAGGCACAATGCGAACATGTTAACATGTAAATAAGATGTTTGGTTCTATTCGCCTACGAAAGAATACTGTTTTCAATCACGTATACATAGTTGTAGAAAAATATTTTCTAGCAATAAATCCAAGCAACACGATTTATATGTTGAACCTTCCGTCGACCTGCATAATTATTTATGGCAGCCCTTAGCAGACTGAAAGTTTTTCAAATTTACTTACCCCACTCGGTCTAAGCTACTCTTCGTACGAAGATTTTTGCCACCATACGCCCAGCATTAGGTCCAATAAGTAAGCGGCGACAAGTTGCAGGTTAATATAAATTTAATGATATTAACTTTGTTTTATGTCGATGTACATAATCCTACGCGCACGAATGTTGTGTTGTGTGCATTTCAGTTTTTGCCAGCGTAAGAGTAAACGCAAAGGAGACAATTAATGGTGGGACATACGAATGGACGAATAAAATGTTACCGCTGGCCTACAATATATTTGTGTGTGTAGTTGTTATGTAACATATTATGTTTTTGACCCCGCTTTACATACTTCTACTTATTGTAAACATATTGACGGAACCGATAGGCCGCTATCATGTCCTTAAGTATTAGATATACAAAGACATTTTCATTATTAATTCGTAAACTTACGTCTATTCTTCCCTAATAAAGCGTAAGGAATATATTTTTTGTTTTTTCTCATTCATTTAGAAAGAAAGAACAAATTAAGAAAAGAAAATATCACACCTAACGACTCGTTCCATGCGTTCCATGCGCTCATGTTGTATATGCTTAGATATTCGCAGTGTGGACGCATATGCTTGTTATGTGTCGTAAACAATTTAATATCGAAGAAATTGCGAAGAAATATTAATTACAACGGAAAAAAGTAGCACAAGCAAAACAATACACTAAACTAAACTAGTATAGCACGTAAAACAATCAAGAACATATGCTGGTTAAGGATGCCCAAAATATCCAAATTAATACATTAACCAATATTTACGATACTTATTCGACTTGTTAACTTGTTAATTCGACGACGACAACATAAATGAATAATATATAATAATAAAAGTGATATAACTATAATAGGAATTCTTAAGAAAATCTTAGATATGCTTTGTGTGCACTTAAATGATTAAATTTGAATACCTCAGCAGTTACCTTTTGATTACAAAATTCCAATTCCGAGAAGCATCCGCGCTACGCCCTCACATGCCGTACTAAGTGGCATATCATTATTTACTCCGTCATTCCGCGAAAAAACCTCTCTCTGCGGAATAGTGTTTCTACAACGCACAACAATGTTACGTTTCGTTCATTAACGGTCGGGAAAGTTAAACGTTATGAGGCATACTATACTTTACTACCACTCCTTTCACATTCAAAGTACTAGTGAAAGCAACTTTGCGTGGTTCCTATGAAGGTCTTGGTTTTTTTCTGTTTTCTAATGATGAAGGAGAAGAGAATGGCCGACCAGATGCTATGCTGTCATGCTCATCTACCACTCCTCTAGTCCTCGGATTTCCCAGCTCACTTTACTATTAGTGTCTTGATTTCTCTTTAGCGATCCCTTCACCGAAAAATCGAATGTCATGCGGAGCATTACGAAAAGTAGCTCGGCTTCGAAGTTTCAATCGGATCTTTTCTGGCTGCTACCGCGGGTCGCAACAGGCCTGCGCTTAGATCCAAATCGCGAGGCGAGTATTTTTCTGCAAAGTTGCATTAGACTGTTAAGGCAAGCCTCGCAACTCAGTACTCGTGTACCTCTTCTACGGTCTGGCCAACCACCATCAAGTTCCTTAGGCGGGGAAGCATTCTGCCTCTTCGTCGACAACGACGATAAACTGCCGCATTTAATAAGATCTTCAATCAATCAATTAACGCGAAACTCTACTCGATGTTTCTTATCGTTGTGACTAAGTGTTGCGAATGAAAATTTCAAATTGATACACTTGCCATTGGGTTAGTGGTGTGGAAAGAAGAAAAACAGCGAGTAGCAAAAAATTCATTGAAATTCAGTCATAACGTCTTGTCTTTTGGAGTAATGTCGATTTCGTCTATGGATTCGTTTCCCAAGCAAATATAATTCACTAAGAAAAATGAAAATTATGGCTAAATACTTTACGTGACATTAATCGAGTTTTCTATTTAAGTACAAACAAGCGCGCATAAAAGGCGAAACGCGAGTACATTTTCGTTTCGAATAAACGCAGCTCATCCTACTATTCCTGACATGACTTCATACTTCTGAGCTTAATGTGCTCAATTGCTAACAAAAAAGTCATTTAATATTATTTAAAGTCGTTGACAACATATACGTGACCAGAATATGCAAATAGAGCGATGATTGTGTTTATTTTTTTATACGCTGTCTAAATTACATAAACAAAATCAAAATAATATAAATAATAATTAAGTGTTAAAAAAACAAAACCAATTTTTATAACTAAGTCTGAGCAACTACTCTAGACCAGAAACCCCGGAAAGCTGTCGACTGCAGTTTGTTCACTTGTTTGAAATAAAATTTGTACGAAATAATTTCTCTTTTACATAAAGAGCGCATAACTAAGCAAACCACAGCAACTAATTAAATCTTTACTTGTAGTGGTCGGTGTTATGGCAATTGAAGCGACATTTTACTAAATTTTCAAGAAATGCACAAACATTTATTTCAAATCGTGAAAAGTACTTCTCACATGTAATTGCTGCTAAAGTCCTCCCCCATGTCCGCCAAAAAGCGAAAGCGGAAATAGTACAATGGGGAAAAAATCATATCTGCTTTTACATGTATTTCAAATACTCAACGCAAACTATAAATCCCTTAGAACTTTCTATTAATTGTGGTTGTGTTAGTCACTCAAATAGGACTGTTGCTGCACAAATCGTTATGACGGTATGTTACATAGTATTAATAAGAGCATTTTGAAGATCTTAGACTTTATTAAGTACTCCTTTGATCTTTTACAAGCGATCTTTTGAGAAATTCGTAGATAATGTAACAAAACGTTTGTCATGTTGTAGACAAGTCAAGAAGGACTTGATAACCAAAGGCAGATGGACGGACATAACTAGGCCAACTCCAGAGTCTTACGTTACTGAAAACTGAGGCATATATCTGGGTTTTATACACGAAACAGCAAAACTAGTTTACCGCCACCGGATATACAGGAAATGGAAAAATTATAGTCAGCCAAGGTCGATCGTTAAATACTCAACACCAATTCATTCTCTTTTGTATGTAATAAAATTCCAAAAATCCTATGTTACTTTCGTTTAAAGGCATTTATTTTAATGGAAAGGCCAGCAGACACAAGTCACTATTTTTGTAACAATTTTCATTATACAACATTGAAAAATTGTGAAGCGGTCGACATAAAAGAAAACTGCATCCACTTTAAGTCGTTCTGATTTCCTCATAAATTTACTATAAGTGCCGAAGAGTATAAGTAACGAATAAAAGAAATGAATATGCAGGACGGACTTGAGAAACTTGTTCATTACAGAAGAAAGTCGGATAGCTAAATTCGGCTTAAAGGGAATTTTAGTTGTTTGCCTTGACGTGTGAATATTGAAAAATTGTACATTTACCCTATTTGCCGAATTTTCAGTTGTCCCTTGCGTGCGTTTCTTTCCCCACTTCAAAAGAAGTTAGCGGGTATCACCGAAGTTACACTAATAAGTATCGCCCCTATTCATCAAGGTTTTGGCTAAAGTTTATAAAGAGACAAAATTGTTATCTGCTCTGTTATCAGTTAGCTAACTGTCCACGTTTTGCTCCAAAAATTTGTACATTTCTCAATTACTTTTCAGTTTTTGATGTAAGCAATTGCCAGTTTTTACAAGCTAAACGACAGGATTAATACACTATCATTCCATAGAAATTTTCAAAAGAATTTTTATTAATTTTATAAAAATGAAAAAACAGTTCACAGTTTACAATGATAGCATTACGCGGATTGCTCAATGATTGCTAAAATGTTTTTTTCCAAGTATCAAAAATAAATTTGCGAAAGGAATTTAATAGGATTATTATCCTCATAGGACATGTAAAAATAAATGGTTTTCTTTTTTTTCTAATATGCAGAAATGATCGGGAATTTTTGAAATTATCAATAAACAATATCTAAGGGTTTGGCTTTAAACTTTCAAACGTTCTGCTCAATATCAATTTTAGCTTCTGACGTCTGACACTGCAACCACTTGCCGACATGATCCATATTTTGCTCCAACCATTTGATATTGTTTTTGACATTCTCCAAAGCCTCCTTACGTGCAGCTGTGCCTGCCCCTGCCTCGGGATATTTAGCAAAGAATGCCTCCATTTCTTCGAGTTTCGTTTGCGTAGCAAAACGTGATGTTATTGCCGGGATCATACGGCCCATGTAACGTTCATTAATACCGAATCTATTGACCAAACGTGGCCAATTCTCCCGTACATAATCCCAAACTAGGCCTTGACCCACACGATTTTGAGCAATAAACTGTAGGCAGCTGAAATAATCTTGACTGCGTACATAACTTTCATTCCAAGCCAGATTGATGTAACTAAGAAAAATAAGGTCTATCAATAACATAAGCTATGACTAATTTGAAATTTATTTTCTTATTTACCGTTGCAATATCCATGGCTCATTAATGGCGGCTAAAGCTTCCATTAATTTTACTTTCTCTTGAGCGTCTTGTTCGTTAACGAATAATTCCCAAACTTGTTGCCAAATTTGTTCAGTTCCACCTATTTGCATACCGTAATAGTAAACTGCGTTGCGTATATCTGGATGCGGACGTTCTTCAGGATTCTTAAGCCATTCAACAAAACGTTTATGAGCTTCTTCTAAAGCATGCGGATGTCCGAAAGCGCATGAAGCTTTTAATATTGATACACGTAGCAAGCTAATGGCCAAAGACAAGCGCATTATGCATGATATAACAAATGAAAACTAATTCGAAAACATTTTCTTACTTTTCCAAATGATTATCGCCCACATCCCAGGAGACCATCTCGTAAACCTTACTAAGCAGTTGGCGAGCGTAATTAACGAAATTACTGTAGAGTTCAGTATAATAAACTAAATTTCTTATATTAGCCAAACGTGAAACGCCAACGCTCCACGGCACGTATTCCACTTCATTTTCGAGGTATTTACTTAAATCTAAGGCAATGCTGTAGTTCAATTGGCTAGCATCGGCTAAAGCGAACACATCGCTAATCAAATGGGCACGATCGGCAGTACTAAATGCATTGCGGTTTTCCACTAAACCAGAATTTAAAGCGCGCCACATGTCCTCTGGATAATTGACAAGATAGTATCCAATTTGATTTTTGTTAAATTTAATCCATTTCACTTCATTTGGAACTTGAATATTTTCTAAAAAAAAAAAAGGTTTTTTTTTTAATTAAATTGAAGAGAAGATGTCTAGTTTTGTAATTGGTCACCTTCGCTATCATTATAATTGAATATGATACGTTTTACTGTGGGATCTTCGTTAGTAAAATAGGTAATGGGTATAGACCAATGATAACTGTAGAAGAAAAATATTTCCACTATTATTTAAATCACACATATTTGCTTTAGATGAACTCACTTGAACTGGGAGTCTTCATATACGCCATTGTAATCCTCAGGATTGGCGAGAAAACGTTTTTGTGTTAACTTGAAAGAAGTGCCATTTCTTACAATTTGTACGACAGGCAGGCCCATTTGTTCAGTCCATGTCTGCATAATTAATCTACAAAATAGGAAAACAAGTAGTTTTTCAAAATCTTTTTTATCTATGCCACGTTTACTTGATGTCAATATCAGTAATGACGGCTTCAACTTCGCTCAGGAAATCATTAGTTTCAGCATTCGAATAAATGAATCGATTTAAATAATTGGTGGTGGCATTACGAAATTTCTCAGCACCCACCAAATCTTCAAGCATCCGAATGATTGTGGCTCCTTTAGAATATGTTATTGAATCGAACAGTTCGGTAATTTGGTCAGGAGTTTCAACAGTCTGTACAATAGGATGCGATGCTAGCGTGGCGTCAAGCTTCATAACGCCATGCATATCGGAGATTAGGAACTGGTCAAGCTGTAAGTAAAAGTAAATAGAAATTATATCCAGTTTCAATTTCAAAACACAATGAGGCGAAAAAAGTCATCAATAATTTTGCAGTTTTATTCGTATATAATCAGCAGCTGCTCTCAAAAGCATATGTCAAAGGAACAGTAGCTTTTTAAAAAGGTGCTAATTTCGTCGAGTAAACTTCGGCTTTGAAAATGTGTACTCATTGTTTGTTTAGAGGGATAACCTTTGTCTTCCGGTCCCTCTTCTAGAAAATATGAAGCCTAAGGCTTCACAATCTTTTTTGTAATTTGGCTCTGTAAAATTAAAAAAGAAATTTCAAGACCCCAAATTTCTTTTCTAAGGTAAAGTTTTGAAGCGATGGAAATCGATTCTTTAAAAACGACTGTCCGGGCCTAACCAAATCTCTTCCGTTGTTTTTGCTAATCCAGCATACATATAATTCCTTAATAATAATCTTAAAAACCATATTGGATACTTCTTTAGATTTCCTTTACCATTTTCCAATCGGGATGTACATGATTGACACCTTTGTACTCAATATAACTGGCAAAACCTTCGTTAAGCCATAAGTCGTTCCACCATTTCATAGTTACTAAAAAAGATAGGATCATCACAAATAAGATTTGGAAAACAAATTATTAGTCTTAACTTACCCAAATTACCAAACCACATATGAGCCAATTCATGGGCAACCACTACAGCTACGCGTTGCTTATTGGCACTTGAACTTATTTCTTTATCATAAAGCAATGAAGTTTCACGATACGTAACCAAGCCCCAATGTTCCATTGCACCAGAAACGAAGTCGGGTATGGCGGCCATATCCAGTTTGGGCAAAGGATATGATATATTAAAGTATTCTATATAGTATTCAGTAATACCAACACCAACGTTTAGGGCATATTCCACTTTATTGACTTGATTGGCTGTAGCAAACACACGCATTTCAAAGTCCTTAGCGCCATCAAGCATACCTCTAACAAGTTTTGTTTGATTTGCAAAATCGGATACTATGAAGCACACCAGATAAGTGCTCATCGGTACACTTTCAGCGAATTTAGTCTGGGTAAAATGTGCGTCAAAAGGAATTTCTTCCTATAAACAGCAAAAACCGTAAACAATTTAAACTGTACTATTCACATACTGAAAATGTTTTCTCTTACCAGCACATTCATATTAGATAAAGCATGGTAATTATCGTCTGTAGGTCGTATTACAGTTACGCTAAATCGAGCCTTCATGCTGGGTTCATCAAAGCATGGAAAAGCTTGACGTGCATATGTGGGTTCAAATTTTGAGGTAGCAATCCATCTGAAAAATAAAAAGAAAAGTTAATTACATACAAAAAATGAAAGTAAAATGTTGTTTTGAGAAAAAAAAAACTTCAATTCATTCTACGAAAACATTGAGGTTTTTGAAAAGATTCTTGCCAACCTTTCCTTGCTTTGTGCTTTATCCCAATACGAACTCTGATATAAACCAACGATTCTATAAGCCATAGAGCCTTTAAAGGTCAATAGCAAAGAATAATTTCCCACTTGTAGAGGTTCAGAAAATTCGGTAACCCAGTATTCACAGTCAGGATGGGAAAATGTTAAAACAGGATCAATTTTACGCAAAGGTGTACTAGTTTCATCCAACTGCCACACTTGTTCTGTGTCAACTTTCAAGTACTTAGCGTGCACGGGTATAAAGGAAATAGGCTTTAAAACCTCCAAGTTTATTGTCACATTACCACTGAAAGTGCGATTTGCCAAATCCGGTTGCAGTCGCAGCTGATAGTGACGTGGTTTAAGCTCTCTAGGCAATCGGCAAGTAAGCTGTGACAAGACTTTGGATGTAGCCATTACGTGCGGTGCTATTGTGGTTTTATTAAATATAAAGAAACGAGGTTTTGCTGTAGAAGTGGAAGAGCTTGAAGATGCCGACCGAAATCGTTTTATAGGCTTTGTTGAGGAGTAAAGGCTTTCAAGATATTCTTCGTCTAATAGTTGTGCTGATGAGTTATACGTTACATCTGCATGAAAACAAGCAAATGTCAATGGAAAACTTTCTGGTGTTACTAGGTATTGCTAGTTAATCTTCTTACATTACAAATTAATGATACAAAGATAACGATTGATTTCTCTTTTTATTTTTGGCCTTTTTTGTTTTTAGATCATCAATAAAATAAACCGGTATGTTTTGTTACTGTCTTCTCTTTTTTTTGTTTATGTTTTCTTCGTAGGAAAAGAACTTTTTAGTAGTGTTACCTATATACCCGCAACTTCTGTGGGAATATAGATTTCATTTTCACACTAACAGGGTGCTTTTGTTATGCATTTAATTACAAGCAGACGTTAAATTTGTATCAATAATTTGTTAACGTTTTTTTTTTGTTTTCATTTAAAAAATTCATTCTAACCTGTGCGCAGATGTTCATTTACTATGTTTCTGCCGACGTATACTAAGGCGCCTAATAAAAACATACACAACACGAGAAGAAATATACAAAAGCCCGTTAATGTCAAGACAGCATTATTGGGCTTATTATGATAACGATGTTTATCTTTAATCCGATAATGTTCATCTGTAGACAGACTAGAACGTGGTCTAATTGGTATTTGCATTTTTGGTTGATGATGTTGTTGCTGTGGCGGGTACATTTTACAACAATTGACGATTTATTTTTTTTAATTTCTTTTATATTGTGTCTGGCAACAGTGCTCGCGATTTTAATGAACGCGTGTGCCGAAAGATTAAAGCAAGTTTTTCGCAAGCATTTTTCTAACAGTTTATATAAAATTTTAATTTAAATATTAGTGTTACGTCTAAAATTGAATGTAAAAATTTATCTGCAAATCATAGCGAAAATGAAAAATTAGTTTTTAAAGTTATTCAAACGGAAATATGCGGAAAAAAAATTCTCTAATTGTAAAAAAAAAATATGCTGCCTTTATTTTTTTTTTAAGAGCTCGAGAAAAGAAATGTCGGCTTTATATTTTTATGAGCTCATGAAAAAAAGAAAAAATCCGAGGAGTAAGCAAGAAATGAAGTGTTCAGGCGTTTTTAGATCACATTCATCGTAGCAATGCAAAGAAATCTATTAA